TCACTCACAAGTCAGTGCTATATACACACCTGCACACATACTCACACAGACACACACCTCCACACACACACACACACACACACACTCTCTCTCTCTCTCTCTCTCTCACTCACACACACACACTCATCACAGAATAGACAACTGCTGGGACAGCCACAGCAACCAGATTGAAAAGCAAGAAAACAAAAGATGAGGAACTGCGGCGTACTAGTACGCCCAAAACTGTCGGGCCTCAGTCCCAGACCTGTTCGTTCGAAAAGAACAACATTTCTTGTTTATTTCGTAAAACTCAGCCAACAAGAAATGAAAACATCTGAACGGTCGTGTCCCAGTGAACTCTATTAGCAATACACATGCACACAAGCGTGCACAGTGTGCGCAGAGTATTTAAAGCAGCAACCTGAAACCGGCAGACTACAGAATTTGATCATCGAAATTAGGGCTTCATTTTTCTCTGCTCCATCATAAAAAGGAACTGTTTGTCATCGCGTCAGGAAAGAAATCATGATTCGCTGTTCCTTGACTCTCGCCTTGTGCGTGGTGTTCCTGTCTGCGGTATCCAGCCTGCCCTCATCTCATCCGTTTCTAGATTCGTATGAAGATGGCCTTGACAGTAACACTGACCGTGTAAAGGAAAATGAGGATCAAGCTGCCCAGAGCATTGAAGACAGTGCAAGTGTTGCAGGAAACCAGCTGGCTATGAAGAATTCAGGCAAACGATCGCCATCGGAGACAGCGCCCATCTCCGTTGAGTGCTGCCAAGACTCCGAGCATCGACTTCTCATTTACCGGTTCGAAGCAACTGCTATGAACCATCACGACGCTCTCAAGAACTGTCAGCGCAATGGCGGAGAACTGGCAACGCCACTCAACATGAAGGAATTCATTGTCCTGGAGGCCTTCGTACGTCCCCTTCTGGGGAACACTTTTGGCTATGTTGGATACAATGATTTTGAGCAGGAAGGCACGTTTGTCGACAACACCGGACATCCCGCGGTAATCAACAACTATTTCCCCAACGAGCCAAACAACCAAGGCAACGAGGATTGTGTAGAGATGCAAGGATCCAGTGGAAAATTTAACGATCAAACATGCACCTCTGGACGCCAATCTATCTGTGAGTTCAGAATCCCTGCATATTAGAACTAGCCCACCCCTTAAACCGCATTGCTGACGACTCATTCATGATTGCTTAGGTGATATTTGCCGTCACTGCCTGCAGCCCACTAATCGGCCTGTAAACCCTCCATACACATGTGCATACATGTAGCTGACTGGGCGTGTCACTGATTATTCTGGTTCACAAGCGTAACATACATGTACAACCTTACTCTAGTCTTCCCCTCCATGGGTTTGCTGCAACCGGTCATGTATGATTCTGTTAGTGTCTATTCACCCTCCTGTCTCCATGCTTTCACGAATATCTCCCTGACGATTAGATAACTCTTCATGCCCGATTCACCCTACCAATATTGTATCTTGCGCAAACCGAGGATCATGTTCTACATCCGTGTACCTAGGACCTGCATCGTTATTTTCTTCTTTCTTAGTCGGATCAGCAGCTGATAACTGTGTTTCTACCATGTTCATTGCGTTCAGTCGAATCCTAATGATATCATTAGACCACATGCTTAGCTCTGGGGAAATGTACTTGAGTGTACCGGCATATGCATGCCATCAACGTTAGTGCGAGGTCCATGTCGTGTACAGTACGTGTGTGTCTTTAGTTCATGCCGAGACGTGTGGGATGGGAAGTAGTTAACATGGTGTGTGTAGCATAGAGTTATGCAGAATTTTATCACGCGCTTCATTAGTTAGTTAGGTAAGATCTGACGGGTAGATAATATCTCAGTTGTGATCAGACTCTTTTGTCCAAGATTCTCGATGTTCTCGCTCCAAATATACTGGCACACGCAGAGACATAGACAACAATAGCGACAGCACAGAAAGTGAAAGATAGTTGGCCGCAGCCAGATGTGAACCGGATAACGAATGAGGTATGAAAGGCTTGGAAGCAAGCACTGAGAACAGAGTGTCTCAGATAGATTTAGGTGTGCCAGCGGATAGCAGAAAGAGGCCATGATGCCAAAACACTTGGGACCGTCAGATTAATATTCCTGGACCAAGCCAGCCAGGAAAAAACCCTCGCGCCGGCGGACGCAGTAGTGAGGGAGAAAGAAGAGGGTCTTTTTAATAATGAAAATAGCCTGTAACATACAAAGAGCACAATCATCCAGCAGCCACTTCCAGTAATTAAAATAAGAATAATCTGCGGCAATTTAGTTCTCACATGTGAGCAACCTTGGCGTCGCCAACAACCAGCTCAGCAGACTGCCACAAACTAATGAATATTGATATCTGTTCGGGCAACAATAGAATCCTGAAAACTTAATTATTTTTAGCGTGAGTGAGATGAAAAATAGATAACGCGTGCCTGTATAATGGTGAGGGACTGGGTAGTGAGCTTGCAAGATTCCCCGAAAACAGGGTAAGTAACTATGTTCCTAAACATCAGCTAATATTTTGGAAACTGAAAATAAGCACGGTGTTTGTCAGCTGAAAACTTCTCTATTTAGTAGCTATTTACTGAGCTCACTGCGCTGATTCATTGGCAAATGACTGTTTCCCATCGTGTCAACGAATGAGCGAACAACCCTGGCCAGTCCACTGAAGCCCAGATATATTCGCTCCTTGGAAACCGTTTTGCGTTGCTACAAATGCTGCGCTGGTGGTTGCGCTTTCTTGCCTGCCTGACTCACGGCTACATGCAGAGCACACAAGAGGGCCATCAAGTGTGTACGATGATTCTCACTTTTCTGTTTTGTGCCGTGCACGTTATGCTAAGCAGTTGAAGGTTCTGGAAGCTGTATGTATTCGTGTGCATAATCCTGTTCTTTGTTAACAAAATAAGCATGTAGTAGCGTTAAAGTTGTTCTCGTAGCTGGTTATCAGATGTAAATTTCGTGTTATGTTGCACTGTATCACCTCATGCTTTGTGTTTGCACTGAGTTATATAGTTTTAGCACTAGGTTTGACACCTATTATGTGATGCTGTAGCACTTCCCTTTTTTTGTTCACACTCTTAATTATGTAGAAAAGAAAAGGGCATATGGATACGAGCTAAGAGTAACTCTTTATCACTGTAACTGGATACTATAATTATACAGTCAGAAAGTGCAACAACTAGGCACAAAACTGACAGAGTACTGAGACATTCGACGTCCTGACACGTAGCTTCAACACATCTCCGTAGAGCTAACCGACAGCCTTCCAACTTGGAAGGTTCAAGGTTATGAAACGAGTAAAGAGGGGAAGGCAAGCGCAACGAAAACGAGCAAAAGCTACAGTCCCAACGGAATAAAGAATGTCGATTGTTACTGGACGATGACGAGACCAGTACGATATTTGACAAAGCGGTCTAACTACAATCCGAAGCAGCAAAGCAGCACACCACCCAACTTGGGTGAGTCATAAATATCAAAGATAAGTAAAGAAAGGGGAATCTTTGCGAAAACGAATTGTACAAGCCGAAGGCCAAACTCCTACAGTACTCCTCATGCATGACATTGTGATGGACTAGTTGACTACAAAACAAGTTGTTTCACACCACGTACGTTTCGCCGTATGGTTCGTGACGGCTCATGAGGTGTGCAATTTGAAACTCGGATGTTGAGCCATAAATAAATGTAGAAAAGAAAAGGACATATGGATACGAGTTTAGAGTAGCTCTCCATCACTGTAACTGGATACTTTATACAGTCAGAAAGTGCAATAACTAGGCACAAAACTGACAGAGGACTGAGACATTCGACGTCCTGACACATAGCTTCAACACATCTCCGTAGCACTAACCCTATGAAAATGACAGTGACAAACAGTTCTGACAAGGTTTGAAGCACTCCAACCTGACGGCAACCAGCTACGTGTCCATGTAGATAACAGCATAGACAGTAAGACAATTGTCTAAGGTCATCATGCTGCGTATAGTGCTCTACATGTCCAGTGGACAGAGCCTGTATTACAATGATCACAAAGCAATGAAGCAAACAATTCCTTATCCGCTGTTACTCCGAGTTTCGTTTGAAATGCTATCTGATGAGTGTTTCACACGAAACTCCGAGTAACAGCGGGAAAGAATTTGTTCGCTTCATTGCTGTGTGATCTTTGTAGATAGCAGCATATACAGCAGCATGGTCTATAACAAATTCTGTAGACCTTCACCCGAAAATGAAAAGTCGAATAACGTGTGTCAGCATTATGTACGGTCGTGTTAGGCGCTGGTAGATTTCTTTTCGCTGACATTTGAAACTAATCCCACGATCAGATTGTTATCTGAAGAAGGAAGCGGAAGATCTTCGAAAATCTTGGATAGTGTTTGATGTTGACATCAAACTCTTAACGACCAAGATTCTCTCAGATCTGTTTGCATAGTAGTTCCGTGATGTTATCTTCCTCGTTTTAGTTGCAAATACGGTTTTCTTTTCTCACTCACAAGTCAGTACTATATACACACCTGCACACATACTCACACAGACACACACACACACAAACACACACACACACTCTCTCTCTCTCTCTCTCGGTCTCACACACACACACACACACTCATACACACACACTCGTCACAGAATAGACAACTGCTGGGACAGCCACAGCAACCAGCTTGCAAAGCAAGGAAACAAAAGATGAGGAACTGCGGCGTACTAGTACGCCCAAAACTGTCGGACCTCGGTCCCAGACCTGTTCGTTCGAAAAGAACAACATTTCTTGTTTATTTCGCAAAACTCAGCCAACAAGAAATGAAAACATCTGAACGGTCGTGTACCACTGAACTCTACTAGCAATACACATGCACACAAGCGTGCACAGTGTGCGCAGAGTATTTATAGCAGCAACCTACAACCGGCAGACTACAGAATTTGATCATCGAAAGTAGGGCTTCATTTTTCTCTGCTCCATCATAAAAAGGAACTGTTTGTCATCGCGTCAGGAAAGAAATCATGATTCGCTGTTCCTTGACTCTCGCCTTGTGCGTGGTGTTCCTGTCTGAGGTATCCAGCCTGCCCTCATCTCATCCGTTTCTAGATTCGTTTGAAGATGGCCTTGACAGTAACACTGACCGTGTAAAGGAGAATGAGGATCAACCTGCCCAGAGCATTGAAGACAGTGCAAGTGTTGCAGGAAACCAGCTGGCTATGAAGAATTCAGGCAAACGATCGCCTTCGGAGACAGCGCCCATCTCCGTTGAGTGCTGCCAAGACTCCGAGCATCGACTTCTCATTTACCGGTTCGAAGCAACTGCTATGAACCATCACGACGCTCTCAAGAACTGTCAGCGCAATGGCGGAGAACTGGCAACGCCACTCAACATGAAGGAATTCATTGTCCTGGAGGCCTTCGTTCGTCCCCTTCTGGGGAACACTTTTGGCTTTGTTGGATACAATGATTTTGAGCAGGAAGGCACGTTTGTCGACAACACCGGACATCCCGCGGTGATCAACAACTATTTACCCCACGAGCCAAACAACCAAGGCGACGAAGATTGTGTAGAGATGCAAGGATCCAGTGGAAAATTTAACGATGAAAGATGCTCCTCTGTACGCCAATCTATCTGTGAGTTCAGAATCCCTGAACATTTGAACTAGCCCAACCCTTAAACCGCATTGCTGACGACTCCTTCATGATTGCCTAGGTGATATTTGCCGTCACTGCCTGCAGCCCACTAATCGGCCTGTAAACCCTCCATACACATGTCCATACATGTAGCTGACTCGGCGTGTCACTGATTATTCTGGTTCACAAGCGTAACAATACATGTTCAACCTTACTCTAGTCTTCCCCTCCATGGGTTTGCTGCAACCGGTCATGTATAATTCTGTTAGTGTCTATTCACCCTCCTGTCTCCATGCTTTCACGAATATCTCCCTGACGATTAGATATCTCTTCATGCCCGATTCACCCTACTAATATTGTATCTTGCGCAAACCGAGGATCATGTTCTACATCCGTGTACCTAGGCCCTGCATCGTTATTTTTCTTCTTTCTTAGTCGGATCAGCAGCTGATAACTGTGTTTCTACCATGTTCATTGCGTTCAGTCGAATCCTAATGATATCATTAGACCACATGCTTAGCTCTGGGGAAATGTACTTGAGTGTACCGGTATATGCATGACATCAACATTAGTGCGAGGTCAATGTCGTGTACAGTACGTGTGTTTCTTTAGTTCATGCCGAGACGTGTAGGATGGGAAGTAGTTAACATGGTGTGTGTAGCATAGAGTTATGCAGAATTTTATCACGCGCTTCATTAGTTAGTTAGGTAAGATCTGACGGGTAGATAATATCTCAGTTGTGATCAGACTCTTTTGTCCAAGATTCTCGATGTTCTCGCTCCACATATACTGGCACACACAGAGGAATAGACAACAATAGCGACAGCACACAAAGTAAAAGATAGTTGGCCGCAGCCAGATGTGAACCGGATAACGAATGAGGTATGAAAGGCTTGGAAGCAAGCACTGAGAGCAGAGTGTCTCAGATAGAATAGGTGTGCCAGCGGATAGCAGAAAGAGGCCATGATGCAAAAACACTTGGGACCGTCAGATTAATATTCCTGGACCAAGCCAGCCAGGAAAAAACCCTCGCGCCGGCGGACGCAGTAGTGAGGGAGAAAGAAGAGGGTCTTTTTAATAATGAAAATAGCCTGTAACATACAAAGAGCACAGTCATCCAGCAGCCACTTCCAGTATTTAAAATAAGAATAATCTGCGGCAATTTAGTTCTCACATGTGAGCAACCTTGGCGTCGGCAAAAACCAGCTCAGCAGACTGCCTCAAACTAATGAATAGTGATTGTTCGGGCAACAATAGAATCCTGAAAACCTTGGCCAGAACACTACGAGATATTGGTAGCGACTTCGCTGATGATTTCATAGGAAAGGTGCTCGCCACACCGGAGCTCTCGCTTTTCCGCCGACTGACTTACGACTGCCATCCAGAGCAAACAAGAGGTTGCGACTAGTTGATTTGGAGGTGACAACGTTGCGAATGACTAAGGGCCCTCAACATCTGTTCTCAAAATCCAGGAGCGAAACTGACTCACTCGCGCACTGCTTTCTGGCGCTCACGAGGTGTTTTTCGCGCTGGAAAAGGAGCTTCTCTGTACGTTTGTGTATCATGGGTGATGCTTTGGCCTGGAGAGCGCTATAAGTGGTGCTGTTTTGAAAAAATCTTTCTCAGCCTACTGAAGTTCAACAGATCAGGGGTAAGTTTCCCGAAACACTGTGAGCATGGTGTTGTGCTGTATACATGTAGGGAAGGTTGGCCGAGTGGCAGGTTCCGTGGACTTGTTGTGTACTCTAGATGGCAGTCGCGAGTCAGTCAAGTGTCAAGTCAGTTGGCGGAAAATCGCGAGCTCCGGTGTGGGGAGAACCTTTCCCATGAAGTCATCGCCGAAGTCGCTACCACTATCTCCTAATGTTACAGGGTGAGGATATAAATACACAAATACATGAAGCATAATTATTTTTTAGCGTGAATGAGATGAAAAATAGATAACGCGTGGCTGTATAATGATGAGGGACTGGGTAGTGAGCTTGCAAGATTCTCCGATAACGGGGTAAGTAACTAAGTTCCTAAACATCAGCTAATATTTGGAAACTGAAAATATGCAAGGTGTTTGTCAGCTGACAACCTCTCGAGTTAGTCGCTATTTGCTGAGCTCACCGCACTGATTTATTGGCAAATGACTGTTTCCCATCGTGTCAACGAATGAGCGAACAACCCTGGCCAGTCCACTGAAGCCCAGATAATATTCACTCCTTGTGAATCGTTTTGCGTTGCTACAAATGCTGCGCTGGTGGTTGCCCTTTCCTGCCTGCCTGACTCACGGCTACATGCAGAGCACACAAGAGGGCCATCAAGTGTGTACGATGATTCTCACTTTTCTGTTTTGTGCCGTGCAAGTTATGCTAAGCAGTTGAAGATTCTGGAAGCTGTATGTATTCGTGTTCATAATCCTGTTCTTTGTAAACAAAATAAGCATGTAGTCGCGTTAAAGTTGTTCTCGTAGCTGGTTATCAGATGTAAATTTCGTGTTATGTAGCACTGTATCACCTCATGCTTTGTGTTTACACTCAGTTATATAGTTTTAGCACTAGGTTTGACACCTATTATGTAATGCTGTAGCACTTCCTTTTTTTTATTCACACTCTTATGCTGTTATAAAAATTAATGTATTTTAGCACTATGTTTGACACCTATTATGTAATGCTGTAGCACTTCCCTTCTTTTGTTCACACTCTTAATTATGTAGAAAAGAAAAGGATAATATGGATACGAGGTAAGAGTTACTCTTTATCACTGTAACTGGATACTATAATTATACAGTCAGAAAATGCAATAACTAGGCACAAAACTGACAGAGTACTGAGACATTCGACGACCTGACACCTCGCTTCAACACATCTCCGTAGCGCTAACCGACAGCCTTCCAACTTGGAAGGTTCAAGGTTATGAAAAGACCAAAGAGGGGAAGGCAAGCGCAACGAAAACGAGCAAAAGCTACAGTCCCAACGGAATAAAGAATGTCGATTGTTACTGGACGATGACGAGACCAGTACGATATTTGACAAAGCGGTCTGACTACAATTCGAAACAGCAAAGCAGCACACCACCCAACTTGGGTGGTTCATAAATATCAAAGATAAGTAAAGAAAGGGGAAGCTTTGCGAAAACGAATTGTACAAGCCGAAAGCCAAACTCCTACAGTACTCCTCATGCATGACATTGTGATGGACTAGTTGACTACAAAACAAGTTGTTTCACACCACGTACGTTTCGCCGTATGGTTCGTGACGGCTCATCAGGTGTGCAATTTGAAACTCGGATGTTGAGCCATAAATAAATGTAGAAAAGAAAAGGACATATGGATACGAGTTAAGAGTAGCTCTCCATCACTGTAACTGGATACTATATACAGTCAGAAAGTGCAATAACTAGGCACAAAACTGACAGAGTACTGAGACATTCAACGTCCTGACACATAGCTTCAACACATCTCCGTAGCGCTAACCGTATGAAAATGACAGTGACAAACAGTTCTGACAAGTATTGAAGCACTCCAACCTGACGGCAACCAGTTACGTGTCCATGTAGATAACAGCATAGACAGTAAGACAATTGTCTAAGGTCATCATGCTGCGTATAGTGCTCTATGTCCAGTGGACAGAGCCAGTATTACAATGTTCACACAGCAATGAAGCAAACAATTCCTTATCCGCTGTTACTCCGAGTTTCGTGTGAAATGCTATCTGATGAGTGTTTCACACAAAACTCCGAGTAACAGCGGGAAAGAATTTGTTCGCTTCATTGCTGTGTGATCAGTAGTTAGTGCGGGGCGGGTTCTGGGCCACTTTTTGACCTTTGACCTTTGGTCCAAATAAGGCACACTGTGTCGGTCGTGCTTGGTCTGGCCCCGGGACTTCCCCCAGGGTTTGACCTTTGACCTTTGGGTTAAATAAGGCACACTGTGTCGGGCGCGCTTGGTCTGGCCCCGGGACTCTCCCAGGGTTCGACCTTTGGCCCTGCCATGTCATAAATGTGCCATAAAGGTTCTTTTCGCCATTGATGGCGAACGTGCACTTGTGCACGTTCGGTGCATTCGCACCAGGGAGTAGTAAAATACGTACTATTCCCTGATTCGCACATCATAGATGTGCATTGCATGCAGCGAATGACATATTGCGCATGCGCGCATACGCACGCGGAGCATGTGACCTTCAGTGGTCCTATGCGTGTGGAAAAGATGCAGTGCAACACAAGGTGTACTAGTACACGTGTCATTATACTACTCCCTGATTCGCACTTCGTAGATGTGCAGCAAACAAGTTCACGTTCCGTGCATTCGTTTTATTCGCACATCGTAGATGTGCACTGATTGACAAGTTGCCCATACAGAGCATGCCTAATCGGTTTTTCGATCCGTTAAGAGAATGTTCAAAATCGGCCATATTATGAGCCCCAAGATCAGAATTCGGCTCAACGTAGTACTTGAAGTCCCATTACGTCATGTACATTTACACACAAGCACACTCTGTTGAAGCACTGAAACATCGATTTTCGGCGAATTCAACATGCGAAATTTGAAAATTCGGCGAAAAGATGGGTGATTTCTTCAAAACCACATTTTTCGGCGAATTTGTCGGCCAGCCGATTTGGGAAATGCCTACTGTCCATGCAGGTGCATTAGATGCATATTTCTATTTTGATCGGGATACAGTTAGAATCAACCGGTTACGCCCGGAGTATCATGCATCAAAACAATTATTGAAGGGGTGTCACAGTGAAGCAGTGTTGCTACGCACCACAAATCCCCTCTGCACTGCATCGAATCTATACTGGAGAATTCAGAGTGACCAGCAAAGAGTCACAACCGGCGGGTATCCAGTCACACTAAGGCATATCCACCATTCCCCACATATTCACTGTAACAAAACACAATACTGTTCACTATAATACACTTTTATTTAAATGGACTTGGATGAGTCTGTAGAAGAGAACACAATGCACGCACACGCACGCATGCGCGGACACACACACACGAACACACACGCGCGCGCGCACACATCTAGGTTATAGTGCTATA